TATTACATTTTCAATTAATTGCTGATATAGATTAAATGTTGATCTCATATTAAGCCAATTTGCAGAACTTTTTCCTTCATTTTTATTATTTGTTGCTTCCTTGAATTCTCCAAGTAAATTGTTACCTCATCTGCCAGTATGGGCAATCTCTGAATCCCATTCTACTGCCTTCTGGAAGGGTTTCATAACCTGTCTTGGGCTCACTAGTTTATTCTACAGCTCTGTCTCTTTGTTTGAAATCCCCCCATTAGGAACCTTATGTAGCTTAATTTTAAACTTTTTTTAACTTTAATTATATTTTTTATTCTCAGTATTTCCAATTGGTTCTTTTGTTTTGTTTTGTTTTTTTGTTTCTGTCTTATGTTTCAAAAATGTCCTTATCTTCTTAGGGAATTTTTTTTTTAACTTTAAAGTCTTAATCTTTCAGTTCTATTAGATTAGTTTTTTTCTAGTATTAGTTCTGTTTTCGTTTTCTTCCTTTGATTACAGGGCTTGCATTTCTCAGAGAGTTTGTATTAATATCTTGGCTAGTCATGAACCTGAGGGGCAAGGTGACACCCCACCTAGTTTCAGCTCTTCCAGGTGGATCACATTGGTGCAAAGAGGGACCCTTATGACAGTTATAATCTGTACTTATCCTGAATCCCTCTCCCCCCCACCCCCGGCTCAGGTGCCCCAGACCGTGCTTCTATCAGCATCTCCATTGCTCCATTCTACCTTCTTGGTGCAGAGACAGGGCTGCAGAGTGCAGAGGGGGAAACACGCAGACTTGTTAGTGACTGCAGGCTCCCCATTCCAGCCTGGCCCACATGTCACCACTGCCTCCCCTGGCACTGGACTGGAACTGGGTAGATCAGGAAGGAGCCAGCCTGCAAAATGAGAATGAGAAATGGCAAACTTAGAAAGCTCTTCTCAAGCCTGTCTCCCATCACTAGCCCTTGGAGTTTCCCCACATCCCAAACATAGAGACATGCACGGGGATCTCGAAAACTCCTATTACACTAAAGGTTTCTCATGGGTTTTTTTGTTTGTTTGTTTGTTTGTTTGTTTTTTGCCTTAGAGTTTAATAAATCTCAAGGCCTGCTCAGCAACTTTCTAACCTGGAGTATCTCCAGTGCTGGATTCAGGGGACAGGGGCAGTATCCCATACTTGTTTTTGTCTTGTCAGGAGCCCATGAATTTTCCTTTTTTCCCCACTTTGAAGCTAATGATTGGATTCACACTCACACACGCGCGCGCACGCGCACACACACACACACACACACACACACACACACTTAAACATAGTAGCCCTAAACGTCTTATAAGTTCATAGCTTTGGAAGTTGTTTCTAAAGGTATTTTCATATGGTTATTATGAGTATCAGCTCTAATAAATGCAGTGTACCTCTCCAAGTCCAAATTCCCTAACATCAAATGGTTAAAGTAGAAAGAATGCTTCTTTTCATTTAAATAGCAACAAAAACTGAAAGTCAACCCCATAAACAAATGTTCCAAGAGATTTCTAGGTGGCAGGTGTTATTAAATTTTTACATGCATTACATCGTATGATCCTCACATGTAATAATTCTATTAAAATCCCTTTTACAAGGGAGGAAATTAAATTTCAGAAAGCTTAGACAAGTTGCCCAAGATTATATTGGTGGGAAGTGACAAGAGCCAGGGCTGAAACCGTCAGTTTTTTTGCCTTCTGCCTGGCCCTTGCATGGGTTCTAGGCATTCTAGATCCAGATTATATTTCTTAATATTTATATGCATGCAGGGGACACCATTCACTCAAAATACCTTAGAATGAGCTTCTGTTTGGTCATGCAATCTACCTACCTCCCAGTAGAATAATAATTTCTCTGAAACCAGATAAATAAATGAAAATAATTCATTGTATATTTGAATATCTGTCAAGTTCAGGGAGTAATTTTGGAATTTCTGGTGCAGTCCCTGGTAGACCTTTAACATAGTATCTGGAGTGGTTCATACAGGCAGAATAAGTAGAATAGGCAGTTCTCCTTTAAGCCAATGTCACTTTACAAAGAGATTATAACATAATGTTTGAATCTATGAAAGGGGATTACTTGCAACAAGTTGTGTGGTGGAGATGTTTCTAAAATCATGCCCTAGCTTTCTTCCAAGGCTCAGTTTATTTCTCATAGCAATATAGATTCCTGGTATTAAACTGGAGTTTGACCATGAGAGTGAAGTCTTAGCCATCTTATATTGAATATTTTATTATCCAAGCTTAAGAGTGCTAGGTATATGAGAACTCAACAGTCTAAAACCTAGTAAGTATTAATCATCCCAGAACCTGTGTTCTATAAATTTTTTATGTAATGAAAACAGCCCTGATATTTAATTACAAATACTGACTGAAAGTAGATACAACCCAAGTTGGGTGCTGCTTTATTACCTGGAATTCCAGCTCCCTGAGATATACTCTCAGGGCCTATAAATATTAGAGTAAATAGGAATCTTTTAAAACATCATTTCAAATGATTTAGAGAGAAACATGTACTCAAATTTTTATTTTCTGATTGTTGTACTTCCACAATTTAAGCTTTAGAAAATGAGTCTACAGCTCATCAGCCAAAACTCAAGCAGAGATAATTTGGTTGTCTATAAGAGGTATAAACAAGATAATTGAAACAAGATAAAAGATAATTGAAAAGGAATGTTCAGCAATATCAAGGGTGGAATTTGGCTTCCAAAATGGGAGGAAACATGATTCAAAGTGTCCACTATTTATGTTGTATATATTAAAATGGTTTAGACTATGAAGAGTCTCAGATTAAAAAAAGAAAAAGAAGATCATATGTAAGATACTGGAAGAATGTTGTTCTTCCATAGCAATGTGCTAATTTACTTAACATATTGAAATAATAAATATCTTCTGGAGGTTACCTATTCTAAACTCACAGTTAAAATTCCAAAATCAATCTTTAGAGAACTAGTTGAGATAAATATTAAGAGCAATAGGTAAAATTTACCTTCATGGAGTAGAGTCTTTTATTTGAGCCTCCAAACAAGAACAGGACATAAAATGTATTCATGTCAGAAATGTTGATGTCAGAGTATTAAAATGAGAAAAGTAAAACTGGACAGCTGAGTCAACTTACTTAGCATTGTTGCAGAAGAGAAGGGACCAAAGACCCAGAATTTAACAAGAAAAATGTTGTTTGTAAGTTCTGCATTATGCGAATGAAAGAGGGGCATGTTCACCAGTCAGAAGCTGGGGACTACCCTGCCCCACTTCTTTAACTCATCAGAATTACAAGTTTTCTCGATACATGAGTCAATACTGCCTTTTCCCAAGAGAACTGCCTTGTTAACACTGATTGGGAAGGATCCTCATGATGTTCAGTGAGGGAAGATGAGACTGGGAAACTCACAATAAAGAGGAAGGTAGCCCCTGCCCTGTTGGCAAATTTTCCAAAACCTAAAAGAACATTTGCTACATGAAGGATTGCCCATAACACACTTAACACATTTAAAATCTATAAATCCAGGGAAATAAAACATTGTAGGCCTTTAGTAAGTCACACGGATTGTATGGGGGTGGGAAGGTTTTAAGGATTGCTTTCTTAGTTCTGATTTTTAACTTTTTGAATATGCAACATGAATATATATTTAGCATATAGTTTATATGTGCTATATATATGTATATATATAGTGACTCATAGAGGAGCTGTTTTCCTCATGCACATCCTCTACAAATGTGAACTCTTAGTCTCATCACAAAGTGAAAAACCCTAGTCACTTGCATGAATCTGAAGATTTTCTCATTTTCTTTGGGAAATGATATCTGAATTATTAACTTAACATTATAATATGAGACATTAAAATTGTTCTGATTTGTAATTGGTGAGAAGGGAGCTCTATAGCAATTTGTCAAGAACATTTGAGACAGTACCTTTCTACTTAGTTGAAGATTTTATAAATATCGTAAGGGCATTCTAAAGTGAATGGAACAATTTTTTTAAAAAGATTATTTACTTATTTATTTGAGAGAGAGCATGCACCCACACGAGTGGGGGGAGGGCAGAGGAAGAGGGAGAGAGGCAGACTCCCCACTGAGCGCAGAACCCTATGTAGGGCTCCATCCCATGACCCTCGAGATCATGATCTGAGCCAAAATCAAGAGTCCAACACTCAGCTGACTGAGCCACCAAGGCTCCCTACTAATAGAAGAATTTTTAATGTTTGCCATATATGAAGAAAATGTTTCTTACCTTGTAGCATTCAGAAGGAGTTCCCTATTTAACTATGAAAAAATACTAAAAATTTTATTAGATGACTGTCACTCTTGCAGCAAACTATTAGAAGGTGATTTGGAATGGGGAGAATATATGGAGAGAAAATACTGGTTAGAAAGTCTCCATATGATGAAATGAAGAGAAAAGCAACTATGTGTTGAAAAACCCTCCATAACCCATAATAGAGACTACAGTATAAAGATCCAGCAACTGAAGATACTTCCGTTTGTTTTTTTTGTTTGTTTTTGTCATTACTGTCACCTTTATCTTTTTTTTATTCTAGTATTCAGTGATCTCAGAACGATTTTCATGTTTAATTTTAAATGGAAATTTGATGAAGTCAAAAGAACTTGAGACACATTAAAATTATGTTGACATTACTGTTTCAAAGTAATGTCACTGAGGCAATTTTGACAAGATAATATTCCCATTTTTTAGTTTACTAAATCATACCTCCATATTGTGACCAACCAAATGTTTTTCATACTAATATTTTGGCAGCAAATTGCCTTTTTCAAACTTTGTTCACAGATATTTCTTACTTAAGAAATATATTCCATTAGAGAAAGATTTTGAAGCTAAACTTGACATACACTTAATAATCATCTGAAAAAATACAGGAAAATTAATATGTTTTTGTATTATTTTAAATCTATACTAATAAATAAAAATGTCCCATTCCCAAAATCGATATTGTCAATATTGTTATCTTGAAAACAGTGAGATTACCGTTGATTATGCCATGTCTCTTTAGATAAATTTACAAAGAAAAATGAGAGTCACTGGTGTGATTACTCAAGGAGCTAAAAGGATTGGAAGTCCAGAATATATAAAATCTTACAAAATTGCCTATAGCAACGATGGAAAAACTTGGACAATGTACAAAGTAAAAGGCGCCAATGAAGACATGGTAAGACTGACTTAACATATTTAATTTAAAAGTAAAGTTTCATTAATAATCATTGATTGCCAAATAGTTACTGAGTCTTAAACAGAAGCCTTATGTTGTTGCAAATACATTTGTAATTTTTTTTTAATTGGTCTAGTAAGGTGTAGGGTGTAAGGAGTTTTTCCAAGTTATAAATGTACAGTGGCTACTGTTTAAGATTTTCTCAGATTTTAATGGGTGGTTGTATAAGCACTTTATCACAATGTTAACATAGTCCTGTATATGACAATTTTTATTTTTAAAATAGCTTTCAATTTCATTTTATTGCTTTGACAGATTAGCACTCGCCTTAATCAAGTAAGTACAAATCAAAATTACTATTTTTGAAGAAAAAAATTATTATTATTAACAAAAATACCAGGTGATAGAAAAGATGTATGCTTGTATATTTCATATTAGAAAACAACTTTGTTACTCAGCAGAATATAATATGTTAGAGGAAATGAATATAATATTCAGTGTCTATTTTGCCTTTTCATATGATAGTCCTAATTTTTTATCAAATTTTCCTCAAAAGGTTTAATTTTAAAAATATCAGGACTGCAGCTCATCCCATTTAAAACCAAGTGGTTAGACTAAACTCTAATAAATTTTATGAAAGATTTTCTAAATACTTTCTTAAGTGAAATTAAATAAAGTTTTCTGATTACTAAGCTATATGAAAAGTAAAAGAAGAATGAGATTTAAAAGAATTAAAAATAACACATTTTAGCATCTAATTTTTAGAGGGAAACACTGTTTTTCACTGGAGATATATATGAAGGCTTTGATTCTCTCATCCAGTGATCTTGGACTGACTGATAAGAGAGTAATCTTGAGAAATCAGACCCTGAAGCATCCTTAAGTCTGATCATAGCATTAGAGAGACTGAGTAATCAGAAAGTACTAGTGAAGACCAGTTCCTACAAAAAATAAACCAAACCAAACCAAACAAAAACACCTATAAATACTAAGTAGCATGAACGGATGGACCCAGATCAAGTTGAAAGGTTTAAGATGCCCATTTCTCAAAAAAATAAAGAAGCACTCCCCTGGCTCTGAAGGACTGACCTTAAAATCAACAAGACCATCATAGTAGAATATAGATTATGCCATAGACCACAATGGTTTATAGCTTTAATTAGGATTTTTATCTATAAGTTTTTTATCTATAAGTTTTGTATTTACAGCTGAGGACAAGGTGCTTCCTAAATGCTCCAGATCCCCAAATTGCTTAATCCAATTATTGAAGCATTATGTTGAATAGGATATAGGGTCAATATATGAAAATAGGTAAAGAAGCTGTTGCAATTAATAATTTTAAACTCTATATTATCTCTTTACCCAGGTGTTTCGTGGAAATGTTGATAACAACACACCCTATGCTAACTCTTTCACACCCCCGATAAAAGCTCAGTATGTAAGACTCTATCCGCAAGTTTGTCGAAGACACTGCACTTTGAGAATGGAACTTCTTGGATGTGAACTATCAGGTGAGTCTTATATTATCTATTTCTGTATTTTCTTTAAAGAAAAAAACACATATTTGTATGTAGTCTACTACTAATTTGCCATTTTCCAACACTCATAGATATTAATTTCTGCTACAAAATGTCTAGGGCATGCTTCATTGAGAAAATGTGTGTGTGTGTGTGCACATGTGCACGCATGTGTGTAGGATAAACAAGTTCCAAAACAAGAATAGAATTAATGTAGAAGGAGCAGTGTATTTCAAAAAAGTACAACAAATTCTCACTGGAAGCTTTTGTCAAATTTAACTGTGTCTTGTTTTTAGGAGTAACTATGATTTATGTTTTGTGACAAAAGTTCAGCAAAAACAGGAATCTGCCTGACCTCATAAATTGCAGTTATGTTTAGGCTTTATGGCATAGAGGAGTAAGCTTTATCTTTGTCCATCCACCATGAGAACTTGGTTTTATTTTGTTTTGTTTAGGTTTTATGAAACATGTAAATTTATCATTCCTCCCAGGGAGGTAATACTTCAAAACCATGATAGCTACTATAAATTCATTCTGAGATTATTCTTATCTAGCAACCTGCTTATTGTACAAACAGTGATTATCCAGCTCAAAGATAAATCTATCAAAGGATTCAGAGTTAAATAATTCTTGTCTTCCAGCACCATCAGTACCAGATATAAAGATGAAGACTTAATGTGTGGATCTCACAGTGGTCCCATTTCAATATAGCTAGATTCTGAACTAAACAAAAAACCTTGTCTAGGCATTTCACTGTTCTACATTTTTGGTGGTGGTTCTTGTATTTCTAACATCAACATTTAAAAACTATCTTTGCCACTATGGTCTGAGATTATTTTGTTCAAACAGTTGTTTTGTAGAAAGCCAAAATTCATGTGTGCCCCACTTTTTAGCATGAAAGACTTTATCAAACTTAAAATAATGCCATTTAGCTAAAAATACGAGGACACATCTGTCCAAATGGACAACTGAGAGCTTTTTATTCATATCAAGAGGTTGTACAGACATTAAAATGCATGCTTTATATTTGTTTCCCTCCTTAGGTTTATTTGTGGTGCCAAGAAAGAGTGATTTTTAGCAAATAAAAGTTACTATTAAAAACAGCCAAACTTTAAGTGAACCCATTACATTTAAAGGAATTAGAGACATTTGGCCAGATGAGTGAATCTATTTTGAGAATCACATTTTCATACTATATATGGGCATCGTTTATAAAGTAACCAGCATATGGTTTTAGTACCATTAATTATCCTAACAATGATGTTTTCTTTATTTTGGTAATTCGAACCAGCTTATTGACAGCCAGAAATCTCAACAGAATCATTGCTGTGCAGTGTTTATATTACATGTCACTCTGTCATCACAGGCCAGTGTCATCCCTAAGTCATTCATCATAAAGCAATCAAGGAGAAGCCAAGCCCCGTGGTTTTTAGTTATTTAACATTGCCATCCCCAATTCTCCAGTCTCTTGATTCATAGGGGTCAGTCTCTCTTACATGGCACAGTTACGCCCCCAAGGTATGAATATATTTTACTTTCAGGTTTTACTGGAGGTTACACCTGATACTTTACAGATTTTATGCTCTTAAAAAGAACATACCCCATCTCCCAATTCCACAAATTGATTTTAAACTTGCATGCAGAGGATAAAATCTCTCAGTGGATGCTTTTAAATGCTAGGGCACCTCACTCTAGAAATAATCAATTTTTTTGTTAATACTTCATTTTGTTCAGGTGCTGTCTATTCTCGTAAAAGTGTTAATCTACACAGATGAAATCATATGGATGGGAAGGAAAATTTGTGGCGTAAGGCAAATTGGCAGAGAGGTTAGCTGTAACACTTGGAAATAAACAGCAATATAATGTGCCAGATGATTTCCCACAGTCCCCTGCAACGCCGTTAAGCACAAGTCTGCCTTACTGTATTCAATAAGCTGTTACTAAGATCTCTCAGCCTGCCCAGAAGATCAACAGTTAATTTTTTTGCCAGACACATAAAAAAGAAAATCCCCTAAATTCTCTGCAAGAGGTATGATTTAAGATGGTTAGAATGAAATGAATCATGACTGTAATTAGAGGAGGAATAGTGATTAATTCATCCATTCTTTGAACAAATTATTCAGCACTTGCTCTGGGCTAGCTACTAGACAACAGAGTGGGTATGAAATGAATTCTATGACGAAGCAGAAATGGTCAAAGTAAAGGCATCCGACTTCAAATATTATATCACAAAAGGAGAAAACAACTTCCCTTTCCCTTGTATCTTTCTGCAAGCCAAGCAGTTTTACAAAGACTCCAGTATCAGGGCAGGGTGAGTATGGGGGGGCGGGGAGTTGGTCATAATAGAAAAGTCAGAAATCTATAATGCAGGCAATGCGTGTTACCTTAGAACTGCCAGCAGATAAATGGCATGTCATTAAGATTTTGGAATTTTCTAGAATCTTTAAGATTTGTCATGCAATTTTTCTCCCTCAGAAGTTTTATTTAGGAATTTGAACTATTTTAATCCTGAGACTTATGGTCTACGTCTCCTACACCTGAATTCCAATAAGACTTGTGCTAAGGCACACAACTGGCTAACCCTCCATGTCAGTTTTGGCCATGTTTGCATAGGAGAGGTATTTCCTAGAAGGTGGAGGTGAAGCCAAATGTGGAGAAGCTTCAAGAAGGTAGTGATCTAGATTGACTAGAACAGAAGCAATTAATTGTAGTTAAGAATTATTTATCATGAGCAGTTCTAAGCCCTCTCTCTTAGAGCTTGGACTTAAAACAGCCTAGTTTCAAAAAATGCAACCAGTCCTACTACATTATTTAGTGCTTACTGGTCTGCTGATCTGGGGACTTAAGGTTGTTATGTGTCAGAATGAGCTTTATGGAAATAATAAGCATAGCTAACATTTACTGAACGCTAGCTATATGCCAGACTGTTTCTAAATACTTTATTTAGCTAAATAGATAAATAAATATATAAATAAATAAATCTTTATTTAGCTAATTTCTTTGGACACTTTTTGAGGTAGGTTCTATTATTACCACCATTTTACAGATGAGAAAAGGGAGGCATAAAATGGTTAAATAATGGGTAAAAGGTCACACAGAGAATAAGTGGGGAACCAGTACAGTACAAGGCGACAGACCTGATTGGAGAAGTCCCCCTTTTCATCTTGGCTTTCTTGATGATCAGACTCATGTGTTCTTTGGTCAAAATGTAGCAATTATACATAGGAAGACTCAACTACTGACTAATATGATAATAGAATCGTGCTTCCTGTTATGAGCTTTGTGAATGGAATTTTGTCACAGTTGGAACTCAAGATTGGGAAGTTGTGTGTGCGTTTCTTTGAGAAATTGTGTGTGTGTGTGTGCACATGCACGCATGTGAGGACGTATACACACAATTTCCCATTGACAAACCCAAATTTCATACCATGTCAAAACTGAAAACATATGTGCCGATTTGAAAATCTTTCAAAAATATCCAATACTAGAAGTTACTGAGTATGATCAAAATGTAAGTTTTTATAAGAAGGCTTGTGCAATAGTGATTTTTGCAAGAATTACCTTATTTTCTTTTATTATCTATTACTTTAAATTCTATACTTGCATAGGCCTGGCACATGGTACACATTGAATAATTATAAGCTTCCTCAACGTCCAGAAGAAGCCATGTTGGTGCTATAAGAATCAGTGATAAAGATTAACAGACAATTCTCAGAAAACAAAATACTGTCCAGTTTGAAATATACCATTGGAGTGGTTTGTGAAAATGACTTTGTACTGAGGGAATTTTCATTTGCAACATTATGGAAACAAATAAAAGAAAACCAAATATACTTTGTGGGAAAATGTTCTTTTTTAAAGACACAATGAAACTGTTGAAAACCAGAGAATAGTCATGAGGCTATCAGTAATGAGACGAGAGAGCATTTCAGCCTTGTTTTCATTTTGCAAAATCATCTATCGCAGAAAAGTAGTTTGAATTGTCTGCCTTGTTTTCAATTTTTCCAAAATATATTCAGACAAAATAGCCTGAATTGGCTATCTTGTTTTTCGATTTTGTTCCAGATTTATTTCTGATTATAGCCTTTTCTGAATTTAGATGCTTTCTCTTTGGGGAAATGAATAGCATTATGCTTAATCTTCTTTTGCCCACCCAAAATGAACGTAGAAAACTTGCAGGGTAATAAATTATTTTTCTCATGGAGCCCTTCTCATTTTCTTCCAGGCTGTTCGGAGCCTCTGGGGATGAAATCAGGACATATACAAGACTATCAGATCACTGCATCAAGCATCTTCAGGACTCTGAACATGGACATGTTCACTTGGGAACCAAGGAAAGCTCGGCTGGACAAACAGGGCAAAGTGAATGCCTGGACCTCTGGCCACAATGACCAGTCACAATGGTTACAGGTAATATTTTCAAAAACTGTTTCACCAGTGCCTGCTCCTCTTTCCTTAGATTTCCTGTTGGTTAGGTGAATGTCAGAATCCTTGCCTTCATTCTAATTTAGGTGTACCTTTTTCTTTGGCTTACCTAAAATTGGTAAAACAAAAATTCCTTATGAAGCCATATCCATGGACTATTTTTACTGTGATGTTTATTTATAGATGCTTCTGTCAGATTGATGCCCCAGATTGTACCAGATCACAATATACATAGGTCAATTCAATCGATTATGAAAGCATTTGCATTTTAACTCTCATCTGTCCTAATGCTTCCTGTTGGTATTCGTTTGAAAGTGCCACAGCAGGATTCCAGACCACCCTGAAATCATGCTATTGACCTGCAGATTGTTCCTACAGAATCACGACTCCTGACTTATTAGCTCTTTACCCGTGGTTGCTAAGCAATGGAGCAATTTGATTACATTCTCATAAGAGACCTTGCTAATAGAAGGAAAGCATAGACACTGCAGAGTCTATTTATCATTTGCAAATGAAGTGCAGTTATAGTCAGTGCTTTTTAAAAACAATCTTCTTGAAATGCATTTATTGTGGAGTACTTTTAAGTATGCACAAATTTGTTAATGTCTTCTGTGGCAAAGTAAAGTAAGACAGCTTAATTCCATGATGAGGTCATTTTATTTGAAAGATATGAGTTCTATTATTTATTTTTATGCTGTATCCATGAGTTTCAAAACTGTGGTAATTCATTACATTTCTGAAAATCACAAAATCAATTATAATAGCAACAAATGTTACTCTTCATGGAACCAGATTTGCCACCTGAGTCTGTTCTAAGTTACCTGAAATGTCCAATAGAGTCTTCTCAATAGAAATAGTCAATTTTCTCTTTATTTTCCCCTAACATTCTATCTGGATCTCTATTGATCTGGAGCTTTATTGAGCTCTTTCATTAGCTGTTATGCATTAAGGATAATTCTGTGTGTTTTTCTCCTTTTAATGTTTAAGAGCTTTTTGAAGGAAGGGTGTATGTCTACACACACACATACACACACACAAACATACACACACACATATACACTCACACGGTATATTTATCTTCTCGCCATCCCCTCTGCCCCCTCCCTGATCTTGGCTACCACCCCCTCACCTGGGTTTTGCAGAAGCCTCCTGACCAGCTTTCCTGTTTCTGGTCTCATTCTCTAAAAATCCATTTCCCAAATTGTAACCAGTGAGTGCATTTTTTTTTCTAAAATGCAAATATGATTCTCTTACTCCCTTTCTAAAACCCTTCAATTGCTCCCTATTAGCCTCAGAATAAAGTGCAGATTTCTTAATATAACCTCGAAGTTTTTTCTTTTTTTGGAGATTTTATTTATTTATTTGACAGAGAGAGACACAGCGAGAGAGGGAACACAAGCAGGGGGAGTGGGAGAGGGAGAAGCAGGCTTTGCGCCGAACAGGGAGCCCGACGTGGGGCTCGATCCCAGGACCCTGGGATCATGACCTGAGCCAAAGGCAGATGCTTAACGACTGAGCCACCCAGGCGCCCCTAGCCTCAAAGTTTTTGCAGGAGTTAGCCCCATTTCATCTCTTACCACACTTCTAAATTTGCTTCACTTTCTCAAACCAAATGTTCTCTCTTTCAATGCCTTTATAAATGTCCTCTTCCTAGAGGAAAAGAATGGAAAGAGCACCTCTACCCTTAGCATCCCCTGCCTTGTGTGGCTGACGTCCTCGGCTGCAGTTTGGATGTACTTTCTTCTGGGAAGGCTTTGCTACTACTACCAGCTTCATCTTACCACGGTAGTACTCAGCTCTCCCCTGAGTACTACTGTGTCCTCAGGAATTCCCTCACTGTCCATTATCACACTGTATTGGAAATTGTGTTCTCAGATTCAATTGTTTGCTCCAGGAGAGATGAAACTACATTTGTCTTTTGTGACTTCTCAACTTGTTGTCCAGTACCTAACTGAATACCTGTTATAACACCTGATATGATAGGCATTCAATAAACATTTGTTGAATGAATGAATAAGTGGATAAATGAACAGTTCAAAGTGTAATTCAAATTATTGATTTAGGCCTAGATGGCATATCGTTCTGGTCCCTAACTGGTAATAACCTCAAATTTTAAAATAATATTTGAAAGAGAAATCTAAAATGTCATATTAGGGGCTCCTGGGTGGCTCAGTAGGTTAAGCGTCTGACTCTTGGTTTCCACTCAGGTCACGATCTCGTGGGCTGTGAGATGGAGCCCTGTGTCAGGCTCCTGGCTCATCGGGGAGTCTGCTTGAGAGTCTCTCCCTCTGCCCCTCCCCCCACTCATGCGTGTGCTCTCTCTCTAAAATAAATAAATAAATCTTAAAAAAATAAAATAAAACCTCATGTTAAAGATCTAGTCTTTATAACACAGGAACTAAATTTTCATAATACATAGACTTTATGAAGTTTTCAAGTTCTTAATTCAAAGAAACCATGGAAAAACTTTTTCCATTTATTAGACTTGGATGGCAAAGTTAAACTGGTTCTTTGTTGCTGTATAACATTTTATGTATTGGAAATATTCTAGTCATACCTCTGATTAACTAGATTTAGCTAATTTTATTTGTGAGTCATAATGCCATGTGGAATAAGACAAAATATCTTATACCCCATAAGTAACTCAGATAAGCTACTAGACTCCAGAAATATCCACATGAAAGGATTGCTTATGGCAAATATCTTTAGAAAGATAAAATAAAACAAACATTTTTTACATGAATCAGTGTGTAATCTTCAATCCACACCTCCACCCATCACTTTTTTTAAGATGGCTTTTCAACTGTCTTCTTGAAGTCACTTGCATGCTGAAATAGATTCATTCTGTTGGTGACAGATTTTCTGTCAATTCAAGGACCAGTTCTTCCAGTATAGTGTGTTTTTTGTTGTGTCAGAACACATTCAGAATCTCCAGGGCAAGGTAAATTGACATCTTTTCTTATATTTTTTTTTCTTTGTTGACATCATGAAAGAAAATGCTCCAGAATTGATTATTTTTAGCGTCTTCTCCTCAAGAGAATATAATCTGTTCTGCTGTACCTTGTTATGCTTGTTAGTATCTTTGTTGAAAATAATATTAACATTTTTAGAGATAATGTGTAGGGTGATTTGGTTTTTGAATTATTGATGTAGAGTCAGTTTTTATCCTTGTTTGATAAATCTGAATTTGTAAGTTTTAGCTGTGTTTTTAACCAAAATGCATCAGTTCTGAGAAATAGCTCTTCAGAAGAAAAACCACGTCTGTCGTTTAAAATTCCCTTCCTTCATTAACAATCTCCTGCTAATTGATTTTTAAGAAATTTCTTTTATACAGCAACTGTATTTATAACCCTCTAATGATGAGAGTTTTATTTCAGTTTAAAAAGTTTTCCCCAAACCTATTTGGATAATATCTGGAAATAAAATTGCTCTAAAAGAAACCCCCCAAATGCCCTTTGGCCCAGTCATTATGTGTTTTAAGGAATTCTTTAAGATATTCTTTTAAGGAATTCTTATGTATTCAAGTATCACTTTAACATTTTATTCTTATTATTGCTCTAAGGTTTCTTCTAGTCTCTTCTATAATATGGTCAAACTATCAGCTGCTTCTCCAGCAAATGTTCTTGTGTTATTTTTTGGAAGTGATCTTACCTAATCGATTAATGTCCTTGAGCTACTGTTAATCATGAAATCATTATGCTATTCCTAGAGAAACGTGGCAAAAGGGTGTTAGGTCCACAGGCAGTCCTAGATGAGAGACATTTCTCAGACCTCAGAAAAAAGGTTGTTCCGTCACTTTGATATGTTTGATGTTCTCTAAAACTTTGAGCAAGAAGTCCTACCAGTGTGTTTTCCAAAGCCTCTGAAGGTTAAATTGCAGTTTCTGCCTTTCAAAAAATCTTTCCTGCACCTAAATTGAAACCTCATAAGCCAATCATTCCTGACTCATAGTTGGACATTCCTAACACATGGTTGGATTAGATTTTAATCCCTGTTATAAAAATAAAGTGACATTTATCTCACTGAGATTCTTTAGAATCAGACAGTTATCTTCTGTGGTTAGTTTCTAAACAAAGGACCCAGAAGTTTTGTCGTATTTTAAAGTGGATTAAATCAGACAAATGACAGAACCAAGGAAGCACATAGGTTCCCAGCAATGGATAGCTCCTTTTTTTTTTCTTTCTGGTGATTTACATAATCTCAGGAGAACATAATCTGATGCCATCAGTCATAACTAAGAATGAAGATATGTATCCATATTCTTTGCTTCTTCCAATAAAATGATGAAATGTAAAATACTATACTACCAGCTCAGTTGCAAACTGTGAGCAGTGTTGATAAATTACATAAATTTGCATTAGCAAACAAAAAATTTCAAATTTCTTATCTAGGTAGTGGCAGATTTTTCAGATCTTTACCTGCGAGTAGTAACAATAATATTAATAGCTTTAAATGCACATTATGTCACTTGGCAAAGTTCTCTACAGAAATCATATTCTTACTAGAATGTTTATGTGTTTTTATGACCATTTTCAGTGGCTTTTCAACAGACTGAGTAAATTCCCTTCTTATTTATGCTTGGATTATACAAACTGCTTAAAATTCAGCATGGAATTGAGATGTTTAATGACATTCTAACAGAGGTAGGAGCATTACTGATGATAATCTTATAAATTGTGAAGAAATATTTTGGTCTAATAGATGCAGCTGTACAAGGAACACTCTAAGAATTAACTTGGATTGATTAAAAATATTTTTTTAAAATAAGACATTATAAATTCTCTTATAGTGAATATATCATGCATGAATTCATTGCCTTATTGGTGGTGACTATAGAACATGGTTAAGTCACCATCCATAACTGAGTCTGGTTAAAAGTTTTTCAGATTTCACGAAGGGTAGCATAATATAAATGACTAACAGGAAGGAAAATGTCAACAGATCACCTAGGAAATGACCTTTTGGTCTATTTCATGGGACATTTG